ACAGCAGATCATGAGGCCCAAAGACCCGCTACCGTTGACAGAACAATCAGCTCTAGTCTACAGTATACCATGCCAAGACTGCAATGCAAGGTATGTTGGTGAAACGGGCAGACGCCTTGGCACAATATTGCATCAACATCAGCTAACAATCAACCGCAAGGACAAGCTGTCTATGTTCTATGCCCATGTACAGCAGGAGAACCACACAAAAGCCTTTGAGAAAACAAGGGTAATAGGCCGAGTTAACGATGATATGGCCAGATTGCTGCTAGAAAGTTGATCTTCGACTGGCACACTAAACAAAGCCGTAGACTTTCATCCCGCCTACCAAGCGCTTTGCAGAAGGCTTACATCTGCTCAGAACAGAGTATTAGGTCGGGCGGAGGTAGATACGCAGGGCCGACAGCCGTCAGCCGCGAGCGAAGAAGATGGAAACGCTCAGGATACACAGAAACCACTTAACACACATCATGGAAGCGCCCGCGAGGGTGCGAGTAATTCACACGGCACAAAAATCGATCGGTACAATCGATTGACACACGGGCATCAGGCTAGCGGTTGGACACACTTACTGACACCAGCAGGAGAACGGTCACCACGCTCTGAAGATGAAAACGAGAAGGCTTTTGAAACGTCAGCTAAAATACGACTTGGTCCCAAAAATCGCCTCTTCTTCATTTTCCTATTCCGAGGATGATGAAAGGAAGATAACAACGCATCAGCGTACCTGACTTTTCCTACTTCCAGCTCACGAGGTAACTCGGGCTGCATCGGACTTTTGTGAAATTCTCACCAAAGTGGTTGCCGGGACCGCCTCATCAAAATCTGCTACGCATGGCCAGTCCATCTCCAGTAGTCTCGAATGCTCCTCTTCCTCGGAAAAGGGTTCGCGTAGGTACAGTTTGCGTCTGCATCATTGTTCACATGCTCTCTCCCTCTCTCACGAGACATAGTTGAACCCTATCTGAGAGAGTGTCGATTTCAGAAGTAGAGGATGCAATCTCTGGAAAAAAAAGTTTATTTGCCTGACGTTTCGGGTTCTGTCGAGGGTCCCTTAATCAGAGGTGATATATGCACAGATCAAGGCATAGATAGGG